CGTGGGGCGAGCTCCCCAAACCCCGCCTCCAAGCTCCAGAGTCTCTCTCTTTCTCTCTCCCACACTTAAGACACGCCTCCAGGACCCGCCCCTAAATCCAAAGCTCTATCTCTCCCCCTCCCCCCGCAAAATCCTGGGGTGGGGCAACCCCACGTGCCCTGACACTGGGGTTCTAGAGAGCGTTCCATCTCCACAGCCCCGCCCTCGCCCCAAGTCCCGCCCACCAGTTCCTAGCCTGGCTCTTCTCACCTAGGGACCCGTCTGGCACCAAACTTTTGGAAGAAACACTGCCCTATGCATGAGGGCTTAGGGGCGTCGTCCCACCACCCAATCACTTTGTGGCTCTGGCCCCCACGCGGAGGCAGACACAGGTGCCAAGTCGATCTGGAGAGAAACAGAGAGAATCTGGGGTGAGCAGTGATACATTCCCAAACAACTCTAAGGACTCCAGCCAGAAATCCCACTGGGGAGGCTCTGGAATAGGATTTCATGAGCAAAATCTGCTGCCAAGCACTGTACCGCTAATTACCGTTTATTTTTATACAGGGACCTTGGGTGACAAAACTCTTTCTGCTGTCCTTCAACCCATATATTATCCCCACCTTCCAGATGAGTAAATTAAGTCCTAGCCGCACACAAGGTCATGTGACCTCCAACAAGTGCCCCATCCTTTTCCCCACCTGGGTCAGATTACGGCGCGCCGGGCTAGCAATTGAAGGCAGTGGGTTCTGTTCCTCTCACAGAGAGGCTGGGACAGCAAGAGGTGCTCTGTCACCTCTCTGGGGTCACTAGCCACCGTTTATTGAGAGAGGCTGCTTGTTCTGCCTGTCAGCACGTGACTCTTTCCTAGCCTACATACTGTAACGTCTGGTGTGCTCATCTGGGGGAAGACCAAAAGTCCAGAGAAAGGAGTGACTTACAGGTGTCGGTGGCCAAGGCTGGAGTGAAAACTTAAATGTTCAATGCTCTCTACTCGCACCTGCCGCCACTGTAGAATGAAAAGGAGAGGGGAACTGGGTTGCACATTCTCAGCTGTGACAGACTGCGAAGAGGAGGGTCCGTAGGAGGAGGGGAGAGAGCAGGGATGGAGAGAGAGTTGGGGGGGTAGTGAGCCCAGGCAATAAACCCACCAACCGCATCCTTTGGAACACACCGAGCTTTCTGAATTCATGGTTTTGGGGATTGACACCTGCCCTCAACATGGTTGTTCCAAACGATGAGAGTGTGCATTTCCAAAAAGCAAACCAAACCAAACAAAAATGAAAAAGTGAGAGAAACCGTGAGCACGCCAGACAGTGTCTGGAAGTGATGGGGTTAACCCGGGAGCGCTTCGCGGAGGAGGTGAGGCTTAAAACGGATTAGGCAAACA